CTGTGTTTACACCTGAAACAACTAATTCGATTCCCAGACCCGAGACGATGTAATAAATAAAATACAGTCATGGTTTCAGATACTCCATAGTACGAGTGCTCCAGCTACTCATCTTCGAATCTGAGCAATTGACTCTTATGTGATGTCTTATATTTAATTTCATATATAGAATCAATAAAAAGTCACTGAAGTCTGTTACATGCACGATTCTATTTCACCACTGCAGGGGCTCAGGCCTTCCTTCTGGATGGTTAGGGAGCATGGGCCATGACCCTCCACGCTGGTCCAATGCGGATTGGAAAGTATTAACGACTGTAGATGCAGCCAGGACCAACGGCTTAACGTGCCTTCCGAAGCCCGAGTAGCTCGAGATAATAATTTTTGGCAGAATTTACGATTCTATTTATGATTCAAATAATTATGTAAACAATCTTTTGTTGGCAATTCGACATGGTTGCGTTATTTAATTACAAAATTCTCAAAGCCCCACTAACTAACTGAAAAGGCAAGTTAGTAAACTTGTGAAATATACTCTCAACTTAATGAATAACAATAATAGAGACTGCAAATAACAAATTTTAATACAATTTTGTTGAAATAAAACGGAACTAAAATAATGCGTCAATGATAAAATATAGACACGATTCGACATGCTACCATAAAAAGGTCACAGATCGTACGTTGAACTGGGCTGTCTCAAAACAATTCTTCTTACTGTGCGAACAAGTTGAATATCAACAAAAAATAACCTTACTTGAGTCACTCAAATTACCTCATAAATATGAAGAATACTTAAGACTTTTGTGAAAACAATCCATTAAAAATATCCAAACAAAGATCCAATGACGCCCTTTCATACTCTTTATCTTATCATAAAGAAGCTCACATCTTAAAAGCATATCAAAGGAAAAGCACATGTAATTTAATTTAGTAATAACATAACAATAATTTTCTTATATTCTTATGACATTTTCATTTAGACAAAAAAACTTAAATAAAGATTAATTAAAATTACCACTCGAAACAGAATTTTGAAAAGTATTTGGTCTGGGGTGTCCATCGTCCAGTTCGCGCCCGTTTGAGGGATCTCCGTTTGAAAATTCTCAAATATGAAAATACCAGCACACCAATAACACGAAAAATCAATACCGCCAATACCTCAGATATATAAGTTCCGTGCGCCCAACCTATCCTATTTAGAAAAAATAGTAAGTCTAGAATGTTCAACAACGCAGCGCAGAAACGCAGGATATTGAGAAAAAAACATTGTTTGTAGCGGCGCGTTATTGTTTAATATGAATTTTAGGGTACATAGCTATTTCTAGAGTTTGGTAATGAGAAAAGGAATAATATTTATTATGAATTTGTTTGTTTTTATAGTTACAACAGTAAAAATAAGATGGACGCGAATTACTCCACCGAACTTACAAAACTTGCTTTTTGCGTCCTCCATGGACTCGCAACTATACCTACAGAATATAGTATTATACCAAGTTGCAATACATTTCGTAAAATACATTCGACTTGTTTGCAAAAATATTTTAAAATATAATGTACATTTTTTATTTAGACTACGAGTTAAAAAATTCTATTATAAATGAGTAGTATCTTTAATTCTTATTTTTTTTCTGAGTAAGATGAGTTCTACAGTGATAAGAAAGAAGAAGGAAAAGAGTAAAAACCCAAGATGTTTCGATCAAACTGAATGTTAACTTTAAAATAGACTATATATTGAATATATTAGACATCTTTTCATTGAAATTATTGAAACTAGTACTGGGTTATTTTTATATTCTACAAGGACACGAACAGGCGAAATGACCCTATATTAAGCATTAAGCGGAGAATTATAAACTCTATTAATATGATTTGTATACTTTGGTATTATGTAAACAGAGTCGAACACAGCGTTGTCGCAGTTGCAGTATGGGAGAGCTCAATCAAATAAAACCTTAATTACCTTATAATGTGACTGACACCTATGCCATCAATTATCTGCTTATAGAGAGATTCATTTCTATTTAATTGTAAGAAGTGCATGAGTATACCCGCTATAGACACATAGTTTCGTTGGTCTAACGGTATGTGTAGACAGTGTAGTGTTATTGTACGCACCTTTGATCCATGGCAGCTAGGCTTATGATGTAAAGGCACGTCTAAATCCACTACCGTCTCGTACGCTGGCGGAGGTCCCGGTATGTCGGGTTGCATCTGAAGAGAACAAACGATAACTGATAAGGTACTATCAATAGAATTATCAGAGCGACCGCCTAACCGCTATAATGAGGAAGTATTAAAAAAAAACACGAAAGCACTAAAAAGCACTTCCACTAGATGGCGACTCTAGCAAAAGTTGATTTTTACAGGAAACGAATGGACCAGAGACGGTCATTTTCGTTCCTTTTAACTAACATATTAAAAAACTGAAATTTGAAAAGTTCAAAACTTAGATATCAATATAAATACGAAAAACTACAAATAGAATATGAGTTGTTTATTAAGTTTTGAAAACTAATGTACTTTTACACATGAAAGAAAACCGGAAGGGTTGTCATGGAGAAATCAAGAACGTACTCTAGCGACATCTAGTTTGATTTCAGGAACTAACGTTTTTTAAATATTTCCTCATAGAGATAAAGCGTGGGCATATTGTTATGAAAGAAAATTAACGTATCACTACATAGTATAAAACAAAGTCGCTTTCTCTGTATCTTTAATCTTTAAAACCACGCAACGGATTTTGATGTGGTTTTTTCTTATAGATAGGGTGATTCAAAAGGAAGGTTTTTATGTATAATACAAGACCACGCGGGCGAAGCCGCTGGCGGAAAGCTAGTACATCGAAAATCAATGGACTTCAGCAAGGTACAGGCGTTACCTTGCTGAAGTCCATTGCTTTGTAAAAACAGAAAACTACTATTGGAAATCAGGGGATACAGACAATATTCTATATGGATATTCTAAATGACTTTCTTTCGTTTATGCCATTCGTTCGCTGTTCTGCACAATAACATTATAACATAAAGTATTCTGCCATAAAGGAAGACCAAACAAAGTATCTTCATATAGAATACACTACCAAATTCGCCTTAATTCCATTCTGATCCACAGGACGGAGCGTAAAATATACTCAGTTTTACTATTGAATTAAAATAGAACTTCATGTTTGCCTTTATAGTCTAAGAGGTCGCGACAAAAAGAACTTTCTAAAGATTGATATTTCATTAAGTTGAATACTTCAACGCTTACTATCAATTGAAATAATTTATAAAATCGGTGTCTTAAACCGATATATCCAATAACTTTCCACATTTTAGACTATAATAGACAACAGTTGCGATTTTGTCTAAATCATCTGACAACTAACAACGCCTCATTGAATATGTTGAAATATACAAAAAATAAACAAGCCGTACATATAATATTTAGCATGTGTTCTTTTTAATATAAAACATTATATAAAGTAATAAACAGTAGGTACACCACCACAGGACATCATATACATTGCTCAGATCTCGATTTCAGTTGGCTTGAGCACGTGCTCAAATTGGTATTTTATATAAATCCGAAACAACGTAGGTAGTACAACACCCAGACTTGAGACAATATATAAATTGAATTTTACAAATTACCCGTACTCCAGAGATGTGTACTCATTGTAACCGGTTTGACCTTTGCCACGGAGGTATACATGTACGTAAATATATATATGTCCAAGATTTTTAAAATAAAACGATAGTAATATAAATAAATCATATTAGTCGATTGTACTACGAATGTTGAAAAAGTAATTTTACAATTTTATATAGTACATTAACATTAATTGAAGTCTATAGTAAAAGATACAATCAGTTGAATATCAAAAAATAGAAACGTTTTATTGAGTATTCGCAATTTTACCATATCGCTATTAACTAAATAGAGACATGGCTATTTGTAAACTGTTGAAACACGGTTAAAAAGAGAGGGAAGATTGCAGTAACCCATCAGTTTCTCTTTACTCGTATAATAGTAAAAGGAAGTACGAATAATAGAATCCAATCAATTTCAATATCGAAAGTTATTTAACGTACTGAAATATAATATTAGCATTATATTAAGACATGGGATACCCCTATCTTCCATCTCTTATTAATCGAGTAAATTTTCGAGGCCTGGCTTACGAAGGTACTATAATCTATACTAATATCTAAAGAGGGAAGAATGACTTGTATGTTTGTTTGTTTGCATCGATTAGGTTTGGAAAGTACTGGATTGATTTTAAAAATTATTTCATCTACTGGTAGCTATATCATACGGGTTGACATAGATTATAATTTACGCGTGCGATGTCGCGGGAAAACAACTAGTAATATAAAAACACATTACTCTTTGAGATAAACAAATAACTGTGTAATATTTGAGAAATTCGATCCGTTTCAACCGCAATATGATACGTATTCACATTCAATTAACCGCTTGTGTTATGGGAATCAGAAATAACCGATTCCATCAAAACCATCTTTGACACGACGCTAGGCACGACAAACTACTGGAATTAAAATAACTCTTTATATTATTACCCTTTCCGATATCAATGGATGGAACCAATACTGCAAGGATGCATCTGCAATTGTTTACACTCACCAATCCACACTGGATCTACGTAGGATATGACCCGTGCTTTCTATGCGATTCCGTCCGTAGAGACCTATGCTTCCAGAGATGGTACATTAATAGGCTGATGATTTATTCAAAAATCTTTCTTGCGCAACCATGTCCAGCTTATCATAACCAGCAATGCTATTTTGATATAAAAGCAACCTCGGACTCGACGTCGAGATATGTCCTGTTATAGCAAGAGCTTCAACGAATAGAATTACTAGCGCTATCTTGGCTACCTATATTGACTGACTAATCTAATAACTAATTAATTCAAAATTTATTCAAATTATAAATACAAAAATGTTGCCAAACTCAAGATCGAAAATAATGAAAGTATTATTTTTCTTTTTCCTCAGATACTCAAATGAAAATATTCCAGGTGGCAGCTTTGAGACCAGCCATTTGAACTCTGTTATGGTGAGTTGATTGCTATTTGTTCAGTCTTTGTCACGTTTCTGAATATATTAAATTAAATATAACCTTTTTCGAGTTTGGGACCTAAAAACTCGTAAAAACTGAACTGTTTAAAGAGAAATTAGTTTTTTATTTTATTGACATGGATGTTTTCTGTTTTACGGTAACAGTTACATATCCAAATTGAAGTTATCATATCGATATGACTAACTGTTTTCAGATATCGATATTGGAACATAACTCGCTAACCGTTATTTTTAACTGTCAGTAGTTCGACTGGAAGCTTTTGGCGCTTGCATGTCGTTTTGTTAGGTAATGTTACCTTTAGATAGATAAAGAGGTCGATAATATCAAGTTGATGTTATGGATCTAACAGTCAGTTGCACAAACGCCCTTGAAGGTTTAATGACGCCTTTAAGCCGTAATTAATGTCAAATTTGCATGGGTAATGACGTTTTAAACTATTGAAAAATAAGCATTTTTCATTAAGAATATTTTTCAGTTTAGCAATGTAAATGCAAAATTAATCAAATATAATATATTGATAAAAAATAAAATAAATTCGTGTAACATTTTTAGTTCCTTTTCATTAGCAAGTCTCATGTTTAGTGAATCACACAACATTGAGTCGAACGAACAATGAACATGGTCTGTAATTACTGAAAAGCAATGATAATAAATCATACGACTACAAACTCCCTGTGTATAAGTAGGCAATCTACTGTGACTAAACATGAGACTTGCTAATGAAAAGGAACTAAAAATGTTACACGTATTTATTTTATTTTTTATCAAGTTGTAAGAAAAGAAAGGGCTCAAAGTCGAGGAAATAATATAATAAAGATAATTAAAATATATACAAACCAAAACAGCTGACTTATATGACCGCAAAAGACAAAGGACAGAGAAATAAGAAAAAAGGAGAATAAAATGTCAACAAAAAAATAGTCTTATAAAATATCTCACCGGCCTGCTGGCCAGTTAGTGATAAACTGTTTTGATGCTAATCTGACAGAGCCGTATGATCTATGTTTATTTTTTAGCATTTTTTATTCATAATGAGGTTTGATCCATACTATAGTGTTTCAAAACAAAGGCATAAAAGCGAAGAAAATGTAATAAAAATAAATAAAACAGTGCGTGAGTTATAAACAGTTATGTGTTCCCTGAATTAAGCACGGGTACCTGTGCAAAAGGATCATCTCCTTCCTGTGGACTCTAATTTCCTGCATATTTAAATTGGCTCAAAAACTCCAAAGAAGCATTTAGTCCAACCAACGTTTTAGTATTGATCAAAGAAAATAACTAAAGACAAGGCGTCATAAACTAGATCCTTTTGCCGTAATGAATAAATAAAATTATAACAAAAGAGGATCGATCTCTAATATTTATTTTTGTTATTAAATTATTATCAAGGTTATTATGATGGATGTTATAATAATGCGACCGGAATCGGATATCGCTGGTTATTTGCCTGCAGATAACCTTTTATATTAGGTAATCATGTCAATAGTTTATGTTTGAACCAGCGTTTCTCGGATATTCCTAATGTATAGTAAGTGTAAATAATTAGAACAAACTAGCAGTTAGCAACGGCTCGTCCGCGAGGGCAAAGGGAAATACAGAATAAAAAATGTTCGTACGAATTATACAGGAAAATTTGTTATCAGTGTACAATTTTTCCAATGTTTTAGTATCTTGAATAGAACATATTTACACATAAAAAATGATATGGCAGATAAATTTTACATAAATCTTCTTTTTTCAATATTAAATAAATAACAATTTGAACATTGACCGTACTTGGTTATTATTTCAAATCCACGAGCTATCCCTAATACTGGTCAAGTATCTGGTCGCGTTACCATATTATAGATGATCTTGTTTTTCTTGAAACTTACAGAAAAATACGGCGCTAAAATGAAATTAAAACCTCACTAACCAGCTAGGCATAACAGTCTGCAATCAAGAATTTATCGTCGTATGACTCATGTGATTAGAGGCTTCGAGACTAGCCTTGGAGAGTTTGGTTCACTAAACACGTGGAGTGCAGTTAGTGTGCACTTCACAACACAATCATTCAGTGCGCTAACGAATCGGTAAATGTGATCGGTAAATAATCTATATAAATAAAATATATATAGCTTACTATTTAGATTGCTTAGCTGTATATATTTAGAACATTGTTTACTCCAAAGTATCAACAACATAACACGGTCCTAATTAACATCCCCACTGTTGAGGGCTCAGGCCTTCCCTATGGAAGGAATCGAATATGGAGAATGTATCATGACCCACCACGCGGGCCCAGTGCCATTTGGTGGGTATTTACGACTGCAAATACAGGCGGAACTAATGCCTTAACGCGCCTCCCGAAGCACGGAGGAGCTCGAGATAGTAAATTTTTTAATTACCCATCTTATAACCGGCCATTGCGGAATTTGCTTAACAACCATATCGCAGACCGAGTGCTGCCACTACGCCATCATGCTCAATAACTACCCAACTAACTACCCAATATCAAGTTTATTTTTATTGATAGATAGTAAACGAATTAGTTGTTTTCAAAAATTTTCTTACACCCGCTATTCTTGTCTTCTAAATCGACCGAAAGCATCATAATTACATACAACTATCTACGTATTGTGCAACAAAAAGCCGTTCGCAATATGTTTTTAAATATTCAAAATACCTACGTGATAAACAGATCTTTATTCTAAAACATTTTTTTTTTCTAAAACCGCTGATTTTAAAGTCAGCTCTCGAGTAGGCAGTCTAGCAATTAACAGTTTTCCCTTAATGCGATTTTATTTCGCGCCGTCAATCGAGGAATCCGGAGCAAATAGTTCCCGGAGGAAGGTGTTCTGTCTGACTGCAGTTCCTGTTTGATGTGCACTCAATAGCGAATAAAACGCTTTTTTTATCACCGCAGTTACGACTTAAGGTGTTCAATCTTTTATAAGACAAGGCAAAGTCATAAATGATTAGAAATCACTTCAAAACGTTAATATTAAACTGGCTTTTGTTCGCGACTTCGTGTAGAAATCGAAAATGGTGGTAATAAAAATCCTATTAGAACCTTTTTCGATTTATACGCAGAAGAATTCTTAAAATTAAGAAATTATGCTGCTTGTAGTATGCAGATAGTACTCCGATTACATAATGCGAAGATAAATTGTTCTTTATAATATCTTACGTTAAGTTAATCTTATACAGGTATAATGCCCTCAATATTACGTGAGTGTTCATCGGCGTACATTTTACTTCACTTTCCGACGGATTTCAAAATAATCGAATCAGATATATCACTCATTTAATTAAAACCAGTCCAACTGGCTGCCTGCTTCAGTCCAGACCCTTTTCTAGGTACAGATGAAAAAGAATAAAATAAAATAAGGCGATGAAAATTGGAATTCTTTTGAGTTGCCAACAAAAAGCTAACTGTATCAAACTAAAAGTTATGTTCAGAAAAAACTACAATAACAAAGTAAGTATTTAGGTGTGCTCAATACTTCTATATCTATAAAATAACTAAAGGATAAGACTACAGACACTGACATACGGCATAAGTAATTGGGAACTATGACAATGTTTTTTTGATTTTATTAGTGAATATCTTTGTTATTATGTTATAACGATACCTTATTTTATATTTATTATTTATATATTTAAGTAATCAATATTTAGGTTAACTTTTCGTAATAGCTCGATTTGTTTGTATCATATTTTAATCAAACCTAATAATATAAGTAATTTAGTAAACTAAAGTAGTAAACTAACGGTCAGTTGCACAAACGTCCACTAGGGTTTAATGACCATTTTAAGCTCTAATGAATGGCAAATTTGTATGGGTAAAATCGCTTTAATCTAATGAAAATCTTAATGAACGTTTCTGCAACTGGCTGTAAGAGTAGCTCGGTGGCGTAGTGGATAAGCGCCGCGGCCCGCGATCGTAGCCGTTAAGCAACTTTCGCAAGGGTCGGTCACGGGATAGGTGACCAAAAAATTATTATCGTGAGCTACTACGTGCTTCGGAAGGCACGTTAAGCCGTTGGTCTCGGCTGCATTTGCAGTCGTTCCGCATTGGGCCAGCGTGGAGGGTCGTGGCCCATCCTCCTTAACCATCCATAAGGAATGCCTGAGCCCCTGCAGTGGGGACGTAAAAGGGCTGGTGATGGTGATGAAGTAAACTAAAACAATCAAATTGATGAAATAATATAAGTAATACTATATAAGTAATAGAAAAACATTGTTATATATTATAACTACTAATACAAAGAAGATTTACATATCCATTGACAAAATCAATGATAGCTTTAGAAAGATAGTTACCCTGGACTTCAATTATGCTAATAATAATGACATCTATACATGATAATAAGATAATGAACAAGAATTGAGTTGATAGATTTAATTCCATTTTGCCTCCGGTGTGGGTGTTGTGATGCCTTCGTTGTTTCAGATACTCATTAACACGAGAGCTATAACAATAATCTTGTAATCAGAGCAATGTATGTGTTGTCTAATTACAATGACGTTCGCAGAATTATGACTGGGCCTCTTAATATCTAGGTGGGCACCCTAAGCGTATAGAGATGCCTACAACATATGCTCAGTAAGGTCTAATTGGAAGATGAATGGTTGTAGTATTAGCATTAGCATGACGTATTTGTATCTACCAATTGGTGTTGTACACACGGCTACACGTCCGGTTACCACCAATATGCCAAATTTCTGCAATGGATTTTGACATCTATCGACAACTTCCTAAGATTTAAAATCGAGTGGAGAAATTTGACAGTTTTTTATAGCCTGACGTGCAGTTGAAAACAAGTACAAGAAATAATGTTCAAATAAGTTTTAAAATGAGAAAACTACCTTTCCCTAAGGGGTTAGTCACAGTCAAAACATAAAGGTATGTGTATGTATCCCTTTAACTCACAAATTATATTTTTCTCATAATTATACTATTTTAATAAAGAAAAATTATAAATTTACTAGTT